TTGAACTAGTGCCTCACACATGTTAGGCAAGCACTCTTACCACTGAACCACAACCCCAAACCAAGGATATGTTTTTGCATCTGGCCCTTCCTAAAATCAAAAAAGAGGCATAATACCTAGTTGGTTTTATAGATTTTGGAGCCAACACCTATCTCATTTGAGTGTGCTACTTCAGCCCATTTACTAAGTAACCTGAAAAGCTGCTAGATTTCACAGGAGGCTCAGGACAAGAGAAGGTTCCACAACTGGTCCAGACTATTGTTTAAGACTCCGGCACTTGCACTATATGGTCCAACAGATCCAATGATGCTTGAAGTGTCTGTGACAGATAGAGATGTTATTTGGAGCCTTTGTCAGGTCTCTAKAGTTGAGTCACATCTATAGAGTGTGGATTCTAAGGATTTTGGAATAAAGTCCTGCCAACCTAATTGGGTAACTACTCTCCATTTGAGAAACAGTGTTTGACATATTAGTTGGCCTTAACCATGGGCCACCAAGTTACCATGTGACTACTATGTGCTATCTGACCCTCTAAGCCCCAAGTTGGTATGAAGATCAGGACTTTGTTATCAAATGAAAGTGATATATATATATATATATACACATTGGGGTTAAACATGTACTGAAGTAAGTTATGTGAAATTGAACAACAGCAGAGGAGGCAGAGAGGGAAGGTGGGAGGGGAGGGGAGGGGGGATAGTAGGGGTTAGGAAAGGTAGCAGATTAAAACAGTCACTAATATGCCATTAGGTAAAAATGTGAGTATGTAACAGATGTGATTCTGCTATCTGTATTTGGGGTAGAAATGGGAGTTCAAAACCCAATGGAGTCAAATGTATGAAAGATGATTTATCAAGAGCTCTGTAATGTTCGGAACAATCAATAAAAAAAAAGAATGAAAATAAACATGTATTTAAATTGCTAAAAAATAAAAAAATAAAAAAGTAGTCATTCTAAAAAAAAGAAAAAGAAAAAGTAGCCTAAAGTGCCCAAGCCTGTGCTTTAGCTAGGTTACCTTCTCGCTCCCAGCCTGAACTTATGCTGACATGGGGAGTTCTCTAGGATCAGTTAACTAAGGAAGACAAAGCTCAGGTTTGGTTTACAGGTTTTTCTGCCCATCTCTGGGACATATCTCAAAGAAACTGGAGAAGAAAAATTCTCCCAGTGGGCAGAACATTGAGTAGTACATCTGGTTATTTGCTTTGCTGGAAGGAGAAATGGCCAGATGTTAGGTTATATATTGATTTCAGAAATAGTAACCTATGGTTTGGTTGGATGACCAGGAGTTTGGAAGAAGCATGACTGAAAAATTAGTGACAAGAACATTTGAGAAGAGGCACTGGATAAACCTCTCTGAATGTTCAAGAAAAAGTAAAGATAACTGTGTTCCATACATATGCACACCAAAAGGTGACCTCAGCAGAGGAGGGTTGAAAGAATCAAGTAGTTAGGATAGCCAGTTCTTGGGCTGCAGTTGTGGCTCAATGGTAGAGTGCTTGTCTTGAATGTGTGAGGCACTGGGTTCAATTCTCAGTACCACATATAAATAAAAAAATAAAGTTCCATCAACAACTAAAATAAATAAGTAAATAAAATTTAAAAATTAAAAAAAAGGATAGCCAGTTCTTTTGTCTACCAGTCTCTTTCCCCAGCAACTTCTGTCAGAATAGTGAAAGAGGCTGACTGATATCTTCTCTACTTCACAGCACATAAACTAAGTGGCCATGGTGGCAGGGATGGAAATTTTTTTTATAGGGCCTACAACACAGACTTCCATTTACCAAGGTCAACCTGGGTACAGTCACTACACAGTGCCCAATCTGACAGCAGCAGAGACCAACAATGAATTCCTAATACGAGACTATTTCTTAGAGTGATCAGTCAGTAACCTGGTATCAGGTTGATTATATTTGATAATTTCTATCATAGAAGGGGAAATATTTTGTTTTTACTAAAATAAACACTCTGAATATGGATCCCTCCCACCCCAACAATGCTTCTACCAAAACTACCACCATGAATTTATGGAATGCCTTACCCACTATTAGGGTATTACATACAATATTGATTCTGACCAATGAACTACACAGCAAAAGAAGTAAAGAAATGGGTCAATGTTCATGGAATTATCTAGTCTTACTATGTTYCTGAACATGCTAAAGCAGCTAGCCTAACAAGAGCTGTGGAATGGCCTTTCAAAGGTTTATTAATAGCACAGTTAGGTAGCAATAACTTGGAAGACTGGGGCAAAGTTCTCCAAAGGCTGTATTTTCTCATATGGTACACTTTCTCCCAAAGCCAGGAATAAAGGAGTGGACATAAAAGTGGTACCACTCATTATTACTCCTGATGACTACTAGAAAAACTTTCTTTCTGTTTCTGTGACTTTATACTTTTTYGGCTTAAAGGTCTTAGTTTCAAAGGGAAAATCCTTTCATCAGGAGATATAGAACTGAAAGTTAAAGACATCCACCAGCCACTTTAGGCTCATAGTCAACAGGCCAATGTGGGATTTATACAATTGTATGGGGTGATTGATCTGGACACTATGGGAAAATTTGATTACTACTTCACAATGGCAATAAGAAAGAACACGTCTGGAATACAGGAGATCCTTTAGAGTGTCTCTTAAGATTACCATGCTCTGTGGTTAAGATTAATCCAATGTAGGCAGGACAACTAATGACCCAGACACATCAAGAATGAAGGACGATAAAGCCCAATCACCTGAGGCAGTGGTAATATGGAATGGGTAGTGGGAGAAATTAGTTAATACCAATTATAATCACATGACTAGTTAAGCAAATATGTTTGTTTTCTTTTTCCTCTTACCATCTTAACATACAACATAAATATATTACCAATGACTTTTAATCACAGTTTTAAAATCATAGGATAGTATAGGATTATCAAAGAGAAGAATAAACATCACCCAGTGACTTTGGATTCTCTTCTGGGGAAAGGACTATGTAAGGCAGCTGTAACATGTTAGGCAGAAGTATGAGTAAAGTCTTTGTTACTGAAAATTGCATATGGTTAAGATGTATATGAATGCATATTTGACAAGGGTTGAATTGCAATGGTTACTTGTATAAGACAACTTGGCTAGTCTATTTTATACAACTATTCAATAAAATAATAATTTAAATATTGCTATGAAGGTATGTTATAGATATGGTTAGCATCTATAATATTGATAATGTAGGTAGACCTCATCCAATCAGCTTAAAGGCCTTAAGAGCAAAAGCAAAATTGAGGTTCTTCTGTAAAAGAAATCTGCTTAAAGAATACACCATCAGTTTCTGCAGAAGTTCCAATCTGCCAGCCTATCCTATAATTTTCAGGTTTGTCCAGATAGACCCCATAATTATGTAAGTCAATTCTTTAAAATAAATCTCTTTATATAAACATGTACATTTCTATGTATATATATATAAATAAATATGTATATGTGATATACAGAAATGTGTGTGTGTGTGTGTGTGTGTGTGTGTGTGTGTGTGTTTTGAGAGTCAGAACACAACAAAAGTACAGAAGAAAGGCAAATTTACTCTCTTACGGAGGTGGGATCCCCATCTATTCCTGGCCTCAGATACCAGAACTCTACGTTCACAGACTTTGGGATTTGTACCTGCAGCCCTCAGCTTTTCATGTTTTTGGCTGAAAGTTATACCATTGATTCCTTTAGCTGGTAGAACTTCAGACTTTGACTCAGCTACACCACTGGCTTCCCTGACTTTCCAGCTTGCAGATGGCAGGTTATAGGGTTTTGTAGCTCTCAAAAGCATGTAAAACAATTCCCATAAATATCCCCTCCCATATACCTATATATTTCTCTATGTATCTATTTCTGTATCTTTCTCTACCTCTATCTATCTACTTACCTATCTCCTATTAGTTCTGTTTTTTTTTTTTTTTGAGAACCCTAACTAATACAAGTGTATTAAGGGTTCAATGAGTAGTACTGAATTAAGTATCCAAGGAACTTATTAAAAAAGAGAGGTCTGTGCTGGGCACAGTGATGCATGCTTGTAATCCCAGTTACTCAGAAGGCTGAGAGAGGAGGATTGCAAGTTCAAACCCAGCCTCAGCAAGTTAGTGAGGCCCTAGGCAACTCAGTGAGACCCTATCTGCAATAAAATATAAAAAAGGGCTAGGGATGCAACTCAGTGGATAAGTACCCCGGGTTTGATCCCCGGTACCGAGAGAGAGAGAGAGAGAGAGAGAGAGAGAGAGAGAGAGAGAGAGAGAGAGAGAGAGAGAGAGAGAGAGGGAGAGAGAGAGAGAGAGAGCGCGAGCGATCTCTGTGGACTTAGAAAATGCTCAAAGCAGGTGCCGTGGAGGAAATGAGGACAAAAATAAAGAGTGGACAGCTTGGATGAATTGAAGTTCTACATAATACATTAAATTCCATTTGCTTCACTGGCTGCTTGCTCACAAAAGTTTCCAAAGTTCCATTGAGTAGACACATTCAGGAGAATACAACAAACAAACAAACAAATTTGAAGTTTAAATGCTGTGAAGGATTGAATTCCTCTTCACCAATTGGTAGATCTTAAACAAACTGCAAACACTTAATCTCAGAGTCTTAAATAAGGTAACAGTACATATCCTATCAAACCTGAAATACTAAAAAATAAATGAGATGATAAAGTTCTTAGCATAGTGCCTTTCACAGAGGAAGTATTCAACCAAAGTTAGGTGAATGTAAAAACTTTTTCATATGCTACTAAAATGAAACCCAAACAACATGAAATTCCAAATTGTTACAAGAGGAAGTAGCCTAGATAAGTCAATGTCATAAGCTAACTTTTTCAAATGTTAAATTATTTGCCTTTAAAAAATATTTTAATCAAGTACCTGACCAGGCTTTTATAATTTTACCATTTGCCTTTTGTTTAAGAACATTCTGATTACAATTTATAACCAATGAAAAAACAATGAAAAATTTTTTATGTAATCCAGATTATTATATATGCTTTGCATTCATAGTACAGTACCTTGAGTAATATCTTTAGGAGGAGAATGTTTCTTATTTACAGTAACACCTTTATTTTTCATTTGTCTAGTTCCTGGTGATGCCCTAATAATACAACAAATTTCTGATGTATCTGAAGGAATCTGAAAAGGAAAAAAAACAGTTATTACATAATTAATCCAGGTACCTTTCTTTTATGTTTCTTTATTTCAAATACAAATAGTCTCAATATCCATATTCCATAGATATTAATAATAGCAAGCATTTATTTAATGTTTACTCTAGACACTAATTGTTTCGAAAATATTTGCTCATTTCATACAAGACCTAAGCAAGACAGATTGTTATTCCTCTTTTACAATGAAGAAATTTAATTTCAGAGAGACTGGATGACTTATATAATATAGAGAATAAGTAAAGGTGGAGTTGAAATTCAAGCACTCAAAATGGGAAAGTCTGCATGATTTAATGAGTTAAAATACAACTTTAAATTTAATTCTGAGTCAAACACTAGATTCCTTGACCTTTCAATTCAGGCAGTTTTGACAATTTCCCATCAAGAAGTCTATGGAATAAATAAATATCATATTTTTTAGAAGTGGCATATCTTATTTGTTAGAACTCAGAAGAAAAAAAATATATATATTATATATAATAATATATGTAATATATATAATAATATATAATATATAATAATAATATATAATAAAATATATAATATAATATATATTATATATAATATATATATTATATATTTATCAAAGTTTTCTCTTATTTTAATTAAAGTCTATTTTAACTAAAGCACTTCGATAAAATTTATTCTGTGGTAGATATCTGGTGTTTTCCTGCTTATTTCCCATTGTCTGGCATTTAGAAGAATCTACCTGGTCTACCAGGCTGCACTCTACCCCTTCCTTATAAATCAGGTGAAGTTGATAATACTTCTGAGCTTCATAGTGGCTGCAAGACCCAACCTAGCCAATGAACATATTCCATGCCCCTGAGAGTTTGGGGCTCAGACAAGAGCACTATAAATGKACCAGTAGGAAGACTGAGATTCTGGCACCGAGCAAGAATCCTTAAGATGGCTAAAGTGCTTCCAGATTGATATCCAGCCCTTGCTATAGCTATTGTAGTAGAAACAGACACATCCTATTAGCAGGACGGGATCCCCAATTTAGGTTGATAGGATTCTAACCAAATAAGATCACATAAGTAAATAAGTAGGGTTAGGGTCAGGGTCAGAATTGGATTCATCTCCTCCAAAATTTTATTACAATGACAATAAAAGAAGTACCAAACTTATGAGAACTCAAGCTACCAAGTATAAGACTGTATATCAAACAATGAATTTCAGCCCATAGAATATCAGTTGCTGGAACTATCAAATTAGAATAGAACAGCAATGTATGAAACTAAAAAATCAACAACTGAGATATCTAGGATGAATAAGCAACAAGAGACTATCAGGAAGTAAAAGCAGATTTGAGGACTGGAATTGTGGCTCAGTGGTAGAGCACTTGCCTAGCATGAGTGAGGCACTGGGTTCAATCCTCAGCACCATATAAAAAAATAAATTAAATAAAGGTATTGTATCCATCTACAACTAAAAAAACACTTAACAAAAGCAGATTTGAAGAAGAAACAATGAGAAATATTTGAAATGAAAAACAAAACTATTGAAATAAAAAATTCAATGGAAGACTTAAGCAGCAGAATGAACACAATGAAGAGAGAATTATTGAAAAAAATACCCAGAAGATGATAAATAAATAAAAAATATTAAATAAAGGGTAAAAAGATGTAACCTATGCTAATTAGCATTTCAGAGAAAATAAAATAGATCATACAGAAGCTGGAAAAGAATGATTTGACTTAAAAAATGTTCTAAGGTCCTTGTACTGTTCAGCAACAAAAGTGAGTTACTGTTTAATTCTTTAGACTTTACTAACTTAAATATAGCTAGTAAATTTTCAAGAGTAATCATGATGTAAAACAAAATGGAGAGTATAAATTCCAAACCCATAGGGGGAGAAGTGGAATAAAGAATATTGAAAACTTTTTTTAGTGTACCAAAAATTGTTAAGGAAAAGAAGTCATACCAAAAAAAAAAGACAAAAAACAAATAAAAAACAAAGACGAGAGAAACAAGTCCAAATACAGCAACAATCACAATACATGTCAGTGGACTAAACTTTAGAGTTAAAAGACGGAGATTCTAAGACTAGAGTGAAAATCCAGCTATTTACAAGAGACTGACCCAAAACAAAAGGAGGTGATAAACTTAAAAATAAAAGAACAGAAAAAATATATACCAAGAAAATACAAAGAGAAAAGTAGGGTAAGGATATTTGTTCAAGACAAAAAACAGAATTGAAAACAAAAGAAAACATTATTAGGAACAAAGAGGCTTGCTAAAGAATAAAAAGAAGGACAAGTCACAAGAAAACTATAACTGTTTAAAATGAACCTGGAGCCAATAAAATAGCTTCAAAATATACAAAGCAAAAATTTAAAGGCCCACAGAAGGAAGCTAACAAATCTCCCATCATTATAGTGCTTAATTTCAACACATTACTCTTTCTTATTGATCACTTAAATAGATGAAATATCAGAAAATATTTTAAAAATTGGAAAACAGAATTAACAAGTTTAATTCAGAGAAACTTCACACATCAACAATTATAAAATAAATATTATTTTCAAATATAGTAAACATTTAATAAAAATCAATCAAGAACTAGGCCATAATACACCTGTCAAAAATTTCAAAGGACCCCTCCTCCCTTGTACAGACCACTTGCTCYGATCACAATGTAATTAAATTAGAAGTGAACAATAAGCAGAAATAAAAAGTTTTCATATACTTAGAATTTTTAAAAGTTCACATTTCTAAGGAATTCTTTGGTTAAAAATGAAATCATAATGGAATTTAAAAATACTTAAGTAGTACAGAAATGATAACATATCAAACTTGTTGGTTACAATTAAATAAGCATTGAAAGACATGTAAGGTAAATCCAATGAAAATATAAGAAGTCAGTAAAGGTAAGGGCAGGAATCAATAAAATACAAGGTAAAGATATAAAGGATATTAATAATCCCATAGATTTATTCTTTGAAAAAGACTAAGAAAATGAACAAAACTTTGATAAGACTAATTTTTAAAGACAGGAGAAATATTTAGAATGAAAAGAGGTCATGGATATGAGATACACTAAGATTAAAAATAGAAGACTATAGACAAAAATTTTGAGCAAGATAATAATTAACTAAATCTACTAATTATATCTTCCTACCTAGGTAGGTAGATATCATGACCAACACTAAAAAATCACCARGCATGGTAGTGCACACTTATAACCCAGCTGTTCAGGAAGCTGAGGAAGAAGGTTTGCAAGTTCAAGGCCAGCATGGGCAATTTAGCAAAACCCGATCTCAAAATAAAAAAGGGCTGAGGATGTAGTTCTATGGTAGAGTGACCCTGGGTTTACTTCCCGGTATTGCAAATTTTTTAATCAGCTAATTTATTTCACCTCATTAATAGGTTAAAAGATGAAAAGTAATTTTAATTATCTTAATAGATATAGAAAAGCATTTAATTTAAAAAATAATAATTTTTTCTATGATTTTTCACTTCATAGAAAACTAGAAAAATAGAGAAAGTTCTTAATCTAGTAAAGGTGGGAGATAACAATGCACTCCTTGATCTTGCCATTCAGTGAGGCCAATGTGACTTTTCTTCTGAGTAARTAATGAATGTCATTCCCAGGCAGGAATATTTAATTACCAAGGTAAAAAGGCCTTTCAGTACTAGCTAGCTTGCTTGCTTTTTCCTTTTTCTTTCCCTTTCTCTCTTGGCAATATTTAAGATTGAACCCAGGAGCACTCTACCACTGAGCAACATTTGTAGCCCCTCCAGCCCCCCCSCCCCATTTACTTACTAACTTATTTATTTTGAGGAACAAGGTCTCATTAACTGCCGAGGGTGGCTTTGAATTTGTGATTCTCATCCCTCAGCCTCTCGAGTGGTTTACAAAATGATTTCTGGTAACATTCAAAATGGTAGCTATTCTGTCAGATACAGCAAGTTGGGGTCTTAGTCCACTCAATGGAAGGACAGTATAAGAAAGAAATTCTGTTGGTTTAGACACTAAAAATTTTCAAGTTGTTTACTACCATAGCTTAATGTAAGTTGTAATTTGCAAAAACTTTAATCTTAATGGTGAAACTTTGTAAATAATTTCACTTATGATCCCAAATAAGAACTATTTTACACTAGAGGTCCCATCCAAGACAATAAGGCACAAATCTCATGGAAGAAACAAACTTGCCATTATTTATAGATGATATGACTGTCTACACAGAAAATACAAAGGAATATACAGACAAATATTAGCAATATTGAAAAGTAGAAGGGTTGCTGGCTATGCACAAATACATACAAATTGATTGTATCTCTACCCCATCAACAAACACTGAGAAAATAGAATTTATAAAAAGGAATAATTTACAAMAGCATAAAATAATATAAAGTTCCTTGAAATATACCTAACAAAAATTTTAAGATCATTCTAGTTAAAATGATAGAACTCTATTGAAAAATATTAATAAACACCCAAACAAATGAGGATATATATATCCACAATCTTAAATATGAATATATATTCATATGTTATATATATATATATATATATATAACATATTTATAAGTATTACACATATTTATATATATACACACATACCATGTTCACAGATTTAGTAATTATGTTAAATTTGAAAGATAAAAAGTGAAGTAGAGGAATCAATGACACAAGCCTCAGGATAGTAGTTACTTATTGGGTAGGATAAATGGAATCATGTGAAGTTCTTTGGATTTTTTAGGGGGGTTATTTTTAATGTACTGTTAAATGGTCTAAGTGGTAGGCATAAAGGTGTTCATCTATTTTTTTCATTAAACTATGAAAATTCTCTTTTGTATGAATGCTATACTTATATAAATAGAAAGCCATCATATTCTAAGTTCTTCTTTCTTGCAATGGTTCCATCTCAAGCAAAAGACTACAGGATTTTTCTCAGGGAAGGGTATATAACAGATCATTTCCTCTCTGAAGAACTTCCAGCAGTTGAAGGTGGATGTTTC